TATATATATATATATATATGCATGCATGCATGTGTATGATACGCATCGTTTATATTCGTTGTTTATATATAAGTTTATATACTGTGTGATTTGTAATATGCAAGAAAACATTTTTTATTATTTATTGATTTTATAACTTAATATACGAAAATTAATATTAAAGTTCAATGTAATATGTATATTTATTTTATAAATAAACATTTTTTTTAACTTCTATCAAATTGCAAAAAATATATTAATATTTTATAATTTCATCAAAAATAATTTTAAATAAATATTGAGATATAGATATAATTTAAAAAAATAAAATAAAATATTTAATATTTTCACAAATTCATACGTATTATTTATTCATATGTAAATAAAATAATATTTTAAAAGAAAGTATAATATAAAGATAATATAAATCGATCTATATTTTCTTGATCAATGCGGTATTCATTTGTTGGAGTAATATGTTTGATAAACTTATTTCATTGCAATAATAAAAATAAATATTATAAACAAATATTATTTTTATTATTATAAAGCAAAAAATACATAATACAATTTGAATATTTTATATAATAAAATATATTTTATTTTTGCGTGTATGTGTGTTATAACCTATAACATAAAAATAAATCTAATTTTAAACGTTCATATGATTCAGAATATAAATGAAGTTTTTAAATAATCAATAAAAAAATTTTACGTTTATAAGTTAATATTGAATTATGAGACCTATACAAAGGAGACAACATGGTTTGCAATATGGCATTTATTTGCTATATATGCAGGCTTTAAATTTTGGTATCGATAAAATTCCACCAGCTACTTTACTTACGATCATTGCACAAGTAAGTAATTAATTTATGAATGAAATTAATAAATTAATGTAATTATTATAAATAATAACATTTTAGGTTTTACTTTATATTGGCTTCATAAAAGTTCCATGGAATGCAGAAGAAGTATGTATATCAGCAATAAAAATATTTAAATATCATGATTGGAATTCTTTTATAATATCAAACTTTGAACATGGTTCAGATATGCATTTGTACTATAATATGGTATCTTTAATCTTGAAAGGTTCATATTTAGAACCTATGTATAAAACAATGAATTTTGTTATTTTATTAACTATTCTTTCATTTGGATGTAGTACTATGTATATAGGATTAAGCTATGTTTTAATGCAATTAACAGGAGATTATGGATATTATGTACAATGTGCTATTGGATTCTCTGCTATTTTATTTGCATTAAAAGTAATTGTAATTTGTGAAGAATATGATAGGATTCATGATGTTGGAGGACTTAGAGTTCCTAGTAAAATTGCTGTTTGGGTTGAATTGATTTTAATTCATCTTTTAGTTCCACAATCTTCATTTATAGGTCATCTTGGGGGTATTTTGATTGGTTGTTTATATTGTTATACTTTTATTGGTGAAATGATTGATAATATAATATATATCATAACCAGTATTCCTATTATACATGAAGAACAATTTTATAGACGACGCAATTCATTATTTAGATAAATTTTGAATTAAAACTATTATAAAAGTTTTAACTCTTCAGATGCGGATTCTCAAATGTTTCAAATTATTTTTATTTTATTTCATTTTACGAATCAATTATTACGATATATCTAATTTTTAGAATATATATCTTTGAAAAGTTATTAAATCCAAAAATTTTTCATTTTTAAATAAAAATTTTTAAAATGTTTTTTTTTTACATAAAAGTAATTAACATATATAATAAATTAAAATATTTAACTTAAAAATATCCCATACGAAAAATTAAGAAAATTGTTCGCGACTGAAAAGTTAATAGATATTATATTCTTATAAAAATTTTATTAAAAAATTTTAAAATCTGTAAATTTATAGAATTTAAAAAAATTCTATAAACATTTATATACATTTTTAAATACTTATGTATATTAAAATGGTATTATTATATAACTTTGC